AACCAAAAGGAATAAATATGCTGAAAATGGATCTTCCTGCCTAAGACCTCTGTTAATTTTAACTTGTCTAGTAGTACTGCCATTCAGTGGAATAGATACCTCTGCTGTCTTCAGACAATTGTTAATCCACCTTCTCCATTTCCGTTCAAAGTGCATCCTTATCATCATATAATTCAGGAACTCCCAACATACTTTATCATATGCCTTCTCAAAATCCACTTTAAACATGAAACTTTTTTTCTTCTTTCTCTTTGCTTCCTCAATTGTTTTATTGGCAATTATAATGCTATCAATCATGTACCTTCCCTCAACAAATGCCATTAGACTTTCACCAATAATACCATCCAAAATCGAGCTAAGCCTATTAGCAAGAAGCTTAGCAATCACTTTATACATTACACCAATTAAAGAAATGGATCTAAATTCCTCAATTTTTTAGGGGTTAACAACTTTGGGTATCCACACAATGAAAGAGTTGTTTATCCCTCTGACTAAATTCCTGTGCTTGTGAAAGTTTTCCAAAAAACCCATCATATCATCTTTAATCACCTCCCACATTTCTCTAATGAATTTGAAATTAAACCCATCCAATTCGAGTGCTTTGGAACAATCGTAGCTCCACACTGCTCGTTTCACTTTTTCATTGAATGGTGCAATCAACATTGAGTTGTCTTCTGCTGAGATCTTTTTAAATTCCATCCCGTCAAGGTGAGGAGGTTGCCATCTATCTTTTGTGAACAAATTCTCAAAGTAGCTTGCCACACCTTCCTTTATTTCGTTAACCTTCTCTAGGTACTTGTCTCACACCTGAATGTTAACTATTTCATTTCATCTCCTTCCTTTGACACATCTGTGAAAAAATTTTGTGTTAGCATCATCATCTTTAATCCACACCTTCCTTGCCTTTTGGTGCCACATGCTTTCTTTTACTTTTGATGTTTCCATAATTCCAAGAAGCTATTCCTTCTTAATTCCACATGTTTGGTGGACAGAGAGGTTATTTCTCATTTGAGATCAATGTCAACAATGGAGTCCATGCACCATTGTGTATTGAAATCTACCTCCAAAACCATGTTCTTGCTCTAGTCTTTCAAAGCTTTCTTTGCTTCCTTTAAGTTTTCTTTCAAGCAATATCCATGCCACCTTGTGATCTTGGTTACCCTCCTCACTTCTACCACTAGGTCTTTAAGCTCATGTGCATCAATCCACACATCGAAAAATTGAAATAGCTTAGGGCCCTAATCAATTACAAGATTTTTCAATAAGACCAGACAATGATATGACTTTATTTCAGCCCCCACTATTTAGCTTCCCCCTAATTGAGGCACCATTCTTTAGAAAGCAAAAATTGATCCAACCTACTCATAACTGCTCCATTTGGATGGTACCATGTGAATTTTCAACCTATTAAAGATAGATCAATTAGACCACATTCTCAAATCAATTCATCAAACTCCACCATGTCCCTCCTACTATTTCTCCTTCCATTCCACTCCTACTCATATTTTATGGCATTGAAATCACCCATTAAACACTAATTGGCTCTAGCTTCCAAAACCAAATTCTTGAGGCTGTTCCACAGAGCCCTTTTACCAGGTAGATCACATGGAGAATAAAGGTTTACAATGTGGACAGGAGTTACTAATACCCCCCAAAATCTAAAAAAACCCACAAAATTCTCATTTTTAATGGCTCTTTCCTTCCTCAACACTTCACAATTCCAAATACATATTAAACCACCAAACGCTCCTCTTGATGGTTCCACAACCCAATCGAAGTTCTCCAATCCCCACAACTTCCTACACAATTGATAATCCACCATCTCTACCTTCGATTCTTATATAGACAAGAAATCAATTTTTTTCTTTTACAACTAACTCTTTCACTCCACTCTTCTTGCCCTCCCCTCTTAAACCTTTTATATTTACTAATAAGAAAATCATTAAAAGTTAATGCAACCATTCCCAGCTATAACATTCGCACTAACCTTTGATTTCCTAAATGTCTCTTTGTCTCTGTCCTCCATATCCTTTAGTCAACAAATCACCTCTGCCTCGTTCCCGTGGTTGCCAGCTCCTATCTTCTTTGCAAGTGCCCAAACCTTGTCCACATTACAAGATTGATATGTTTTGCGCAAATCCCCATTCCTATTTTCAATGCCACTATTCGTAATCAATTCACGTGCAACTTGATTCTAAGACCCAGGGTTGAAATTCGACATCATCTCCTTCAATTTATGCTTTTATAATGTTTTCTTCCTCATTTTCATCTTAGCTAGTCATTCCTCCTTTCTTCCTTGCATATACATTAGAAAGCAAGGTTTCATCTTTTTCTTGTGTTTTTTCAACTTCCTTTGCCTTCGCCCCATCCACTCTTGCTCTTGGCCTGATTCACTTTCAAAGCCCTCCCAAAAAGAAATCTCCTCATTAATAGAGTGAGTGTCGGTTGAACAGTTGCTATCCCTTTTGTTCTCCCGAACCTTCTCAATTAAGACTCTTTTAGCTGCATCATCATCTTCAACTTCTTTATCTACTTCCATCGAATGAGACCCAATGTTTACCAGATCAACATTAATTTTCAGATTAGGCCTTTTCCCTTTTTTGACCCATGGCCCATTTCCTGCTATTTGTTTCAAAGGCCCAGATGACCCATCACTTTTGTTCCTCCATTGCCCTTCCTTTTTTTTTTTTATTTAACTGTACATTTAGGCTATTAGGCACCATCTCTAAGACTGCTATCATCCTTTCTTGATTTTCAGTGCTGGAAATTTGAATTTTCCTGTCTCCTATAGCCTCATTCTTTCCTTGGGAATCTTCCTCATTTATTAGCTTATCATTCATAACCAAAATTAGTTCTCTCTTCCCATTTTTCCGTTCATCCTCCCAACAGTTATGTTGATGTTGGTCTCTCCTTTCAGCTTTCGATTCCACATCATCTCCCATTTCCGTGTCATCATCCTCCATCTTCTTATCAATGTTGTAGCGGTTATCCCCATACCCATTGCCTATGGCAGATGTGAAAATTGTGCATGTGGGATCAACACAAGAATTGCATCCAAACTAAAACCAATTGGCAATAAGTGGAGTGGCTTTCCTTGTATCTAACCCACAAGCTTCTTATTTTTATACTCGATGTGGGATCTTCCTACTTAATAGCAAAATCACCTACCTCACTGTCATCTTCACTATTCAATGACCAAGATTCGAAGCATGCGCCATCTGAAGCACTCAACTCCTTAAACACATGATCAGATTTCATGGAAAAAATCACATTCAAAGCCTCTTTCTCTTCCTCCATGACCTTGATTGTGTATGGTTTCCCATTCACCTTAATATTCATTGATTTTGAAATACAATCCATCACTGGAGTAGAAATCAGCATTCTTCCAACATCAAACCTTTTCTTCTTAGTACTGCTTTCATCTAAAGAAAGGAATTTTCCCCACACAACACCTATTGTAGTAAAGAATCAAGTCCTCAAGCATGGATTAGAACCCCTTGGCATCGTAGCCACACAAACCTTTCATTTGCAACCATTGTTGGGTTCTAAGGTTTAATATCCGTAAACCATTGTCCTAACCATTCTCATGCTAACTCTACTAGGTTTTTTATCTCATCTTTGTCACTTCCCTCCAATAGAACTAAGCGTCCCCCCATTGCTTTTACTTTGTAAGAAAAATATCCTTCCATGAAGAATTTTTCCTGTAAAGTTGGGATGATTTCCATTGAACGAGCTATCCCAACATAGTAGCCTTCTAACCATGAATAATCCTCCTCCTTCACAGTGAATTCTATACCAGCCCTCGCCTTCTCCTTAGTCTTCGGTTTCCATACTTGTACTAAACCTCCCTTCTTCTCTATTTTCTATAATTACTAGTGATTAGCTCCACCATTTAAGTCTTGCCAACTCTTCGGTTCACACCTTCCTCTCGTCTTGCTTTCACAACCTTAGCAAAGGTTCTCTACAGTCTAAGTCCTTTTTTCTTGCCATGTCTTGGTTTTTCACACTTGTGGCTCTCATCTCTTCTGAACTTTGGTTTGTTGACCCATAGTTTGAGCTCTCCAGCCTTAATCTGGTCTAGCTGCTACTCCAGTTCCCACTTATTTTTTACCTTCAGAAATTTGATGAACCCGAACTTGCTCCCCATTTTTTATTTCCTTGAGGGGTTGTAGATGTTTAGGGCCCTTCCATACTTTCTAAAAGTTTGCCACATGCTTTCATAGCTCCAATCATCTGGAAAGTTGGTCAAGAAGAACATAGTTGTCTAATTGTATACCCATCGATCGTATCCCCATACATCCTATTTCCTTGGTCTATTTTGGAGTGAATGACCCACCTCGTACTTGTGACGGTCCTTCTCCTGTGTCTAGATAACTCCTTGCTCCATGTCGTCCTCTTCCCATGTGTTCCAAAGCCGGTCATTCTCTCTCACTCTCTTTCTCTCATATCTCCTTTGTCATAATTTATCATTTTAGGTATAGTTGTAATTGGTTTAAAATAAATAGAATCTCATCATATGAATCAAGTGATCATATATATCTATTTTGTTATCTTATCCTCATCAATTCCAAACTAGCATAAATATGATCCACTTATACCCATGTAGGCAAGAAAAATCTCACCAAAGATGAGGCCCATGTATGTTTAATTTGGGTAAAATTTTTCCTCCTCTATAGATCCAAATGGATCATATTTATACCAACAAGGCAATAACAAGGATGGGGTATGAAGTAGTAATATGATCAAATGATTCATGCGATGGGGCTATATTTATTTTAAATCAATTACAACAATAACTAGAAATTTATGGGTTAAAGTACACAAAATATATTTAAGCGACCAATAATTTCAAACATAAATAGTTGGAGGACTTCTAGTGGGTTATGCCAAAATCTAAAGGGTTTCTTTGATAAAGGGCCCCACCCTCAGGGATGTACTACTAGTCATCTTTGCTTATTTAATCAACACCATTTCTCCTCTTCACGCCCCCCCCTCGGCCCCTCAATCTCTCTCTTTTTCTTTCTTCTCTTCTTCACCACGCTTAGTTTCTTCTGCTGATCCCCATTATACATACCTTAAATAGCTAGGCCTTCTGTCCTTTCTTCAAAGCCATAAACCCAACAGACCCTGCTAAATAAGGGTAGGCCTATATATAGCTAGCCATGAAGGAGAGTGGGAGAAAGCAAGGAGCAGCTTCCCCATGTGCAGCATGCAAGCTTTTGAGGAGAAGGTGTGCTCAAGATTGTGTTTTTTCCCCTTATTTTCCGGCAGATGAGCCCCAGAAGTTTGCTAATGTGCATAAGGTGTTTGGTGCTAGCAATGTCAACAAGATGCTCCAGGTTTGTATTTTACCGTTTGGTATGAAGGGCACTATTGTCTTTTCAATAAAAAGAAAACCCATTCACATCAAACTAATTAAAGAATTGGGGCACCAAAACCCATTGCCTCAAGAAAAGCCAAATTAAAAGCACAAACGAAACCTAGATTAACCCAAAATATTGGATTCACACTAAAGTGCTGTTTTGCAGTTTAGATTTGAGGTTAAAGCTTTAGAACTAATATTTTAAAAATTTTAGTTTACAAATGTACTAAATCGATGTAGAATTAACTCTTAAAATCATACAATAACAAATGAATATTTCCAAAGTAGGTGTAAGATTGTAAGCTTTAATCTAGGACAACATTGATATATATATAAAGGTACATCAGATGATGGGTTATAATAAGGAATAGTTCTCTTTTTCTATTAATCCATCCTCACCCATTTTATGATCTAAAAAACTTAAAATTTTTAATTTAAAATTTCAAATTCTTAATTAGTGGGGACACTACTAAGAGAGGTGTTGATATGTACCTTAGAGGCTTTTTTTTTTTTTTTTTTGTTTCTTCTGGGGACTTCTTAACTGTGGAAACTTGCAGGAATTACCGATGCACCAGCGCGGCGACGCAGTCAGTAGCATGGTGTACGAGGCGAACGCAAGGGTGCGTGACCCCGTGTACGGCTGTGTTGGGGCCATATCATCGCTGCAGCAGCAGATAGACGCGCTTCAGACACAGTTGGCTCTGGCCCAGGCCGAAGTGGTGCACCTACGTGTAAGGCAGACAGCATCGCTATCAAACCACGGGTTCGGCCCAGGTAGCCCAAACAGTAGCGGGTCACCCTCGTCTAAGCTCATGGGTTCGCAAGTCAAGCCCATTTTCGACATGGATATGGTGGTGGACCAAGCCAGCTTGGGAGAATCGATGTGGTCATGCTAGGTTAAATTTTGACGTCACCTTAAAATTTCCTATGATCATTTTCCTCATTGCTTACTACACATCCATTTGGTAGAGATACTAGCAGTGGTGGCAGCAGCAGCGGCCGCGGCCATGGCGGCGGCCGTGGCGGCAGCCATGAATAGAGATAGTAGTGGTGGTGGTGATGGCGGTGACCCTGAAAAAACATATAAAGCTAGATTTTGGTTTGAAAAGGGTTTTCACTGACTGTATTGTACATATATAATTTAACCTTTTTATATAGTGGGTAATTTATAAAGTGGGATTGTCCTCACTTTTCTCTTACTTTTCTATTTCTATCTTATGTTTTTTCCACTCTATTTTGATTTTATGACTCAAAAAGATTTAAGTCGAGAAATTGTCTAAAACATTTATTACTGTTATATAATTGTTAAATTGTCAATTGAACTGATAACATGATTGAAAAGATTTTTATGACTTCTCTATTTCTATCTTGTGTTTTTCTCTACTTTATTTTAATCTTATGAATTCAAAAAATCTAATCAGAGATAAACTATTTAAAACTTTATTTCACATCCCAAAATTGTTAAATTGTTAGTTAAACTAATAATTTGATTAAAAACATTATTATGATGTCAAACGTCAATTTTTCATCTAAATTACTCTTATTTTTAACTAATGCAAAGATCTTGTTCTCATTTCAAACACATGCACCCCAATTCTAAATTTAATGAAAGTTTATGTGCTCATTTTTTAGGTTTTTCAAGATAGAAAAAGAAAGAGGAATTTGATAATCTTCAAGTCTAATTACTTTCCTAGAGAAAACAGAGCATGATAGACAGAATTACCAAAATCGATCGGACTTAATTAGTTTTGTGTCAGGGAGGGAAAATGGTACTCAATTTCTCACGAAAAAACAAAAAGCTCAATCAGGATTAGGGTTGGTGGATTTAGTAAAACATCAAGGACTTCCAAGTCAAATCAACCTCTCATTAATTATGTCCCTTTTGTATGACCTTTTGTATGATCTAGGAAGACTAATGAACCCTCAACCAGCACCAATTAAGCAGGTAATTATCAGTGTCAACTAACAGTATCTTTTCTCATCCATGTTGCTCTTACAAGGGGAGATGACTAACTCGTTTATACACTTTTCGGCCCAGTTGATGATCAAGACATCTACTTCTAGAATTCTAGCTACCACTAATCCACCACATTGGTTTAGTCTATCATCAACCATATAATCCAATGATAAAATTATTTATACACTTAATCACATGTTTAAGATTCAATTTTAGTCTTTACGCACAAAAAGAAAATCAAATTGGTTTAGTCTACAACATGTTTAAATGCATATATTATTTTTGTTACTTATCTAACTATGAGTTATATGATATCATCAATCATATGGTCTAATGATAAAATTATTTATACACTTAATCACATGTTTAAGATTCAATTTTAGTCTTTACGTATAAAAAAAAAATTCAAATTGGTTTAGTCGACATGTTTAAATGTATATATTATTTTTGTTACATATCTAACTATGAGTTATATGATAAAAGATCTTCTTCTTCTTCTTCTTCTTCTTCATATACATCTAGAGATGGATAAATGGACTCATTTTATTTTTCATGTTGCGACTTACATGAAAAAGGAAAAAGAGTACATCGTTCAAGATAAATGAGTTATTATGAGAGGATGCCTTAACGGATAGAACATCTTCTTCTTCATATACATCTAGAGATCCTTCTTATTCTTCTTCTTCTTCTTCTTCATATACATCTAGAGACAGATAAATGAACTCATTTTATTTTTCATGTTGCGACTTATATGAAAAAGGAAAAAGAGCACATCGTTCAAGATAAATGAGTTATTATAAGAGGATGCCTTAACGGATAAAATATTAATACTTTAAAACTAAAATGTCTTGTTCTTCTTCTTCTCCTTCTTCTTTAATTTCTTCATACTAATTCATCTCAATTATTATACGTTTAGATACTCTCAGGAATGGTTAATATACATGTAGAGATAGATAAATGAACTCATTTTATTTTTCATGTTGCGACTTACATGAAAGAGGAAAAATAGTACATGGTTCAAGATAAATAAGTTATTATAAGAGGATGACTTAACGGATAAAACATTAATACTTTAAAACTAAAATGACTGTTGTGTGGAGGGGGGGGGGGGGATAATTGCACCAAATTTAGAGTTAAATTGTAGTACTACTATAATAGATAATAGCAACCTTGTATGAATTTAATTACCACAAAATGCAAAACTTTCAATGCAATTTGGGTAACAAGAATCAAAATATATAGAAACATTGATCAGTTTCAGTGTCCAACACCAACATTACACACACTAAAATTAAAAGTTCACAAATTTAAGTACAAGAAGTTCCTCATTCCCTCTTTCCCCCTCAAACCACCAACACATTCCTTCTCAACGGCAGCTCCATCCAATCTCTGCGCCTAAATACATCAGAAGATACAAAAATCAGTAATTGGCAATGGAAAATCAATGCCAACCCATCAACATGCAAGTTCTCTAAAGATTTCCATTGATTTTTCTTCAATATTTGATTTCATTCTCTTTTTTGAAATAAAAACATGAGGAAATATAAAGAAATTAAAAGAGAAAACCTGAGGAAATTAAACGTCCTTGACAACGAGGTCTCCCTTTACGAGCTCTCTGTATGCAGCCACAGGCCATGTGAAGCCTCTGAAGAGCAGGCTGGTGGCCAAAGGTACATCAATGATGATCTCCTTCATTGCTGGCTTCTTCTCTCCCCTGATTGAGATCAGGTAGCTCCTTCCGACCCACCCAATCCATCCGGCGATGTATAAGAACAACAGCCCTGGCGTGATGAACTCACCCCAGTGTCTTTGGTCTCCATTAACAATCAAATGGGGCAACCCATCAGAGCCACAGAGCAACCCCTGTTTCCCGTAGTTATCGAACCTCTTCTTGGTCTTCTCGATGGTGGCTTTGATCGCCAGTGCAGGCGCGCTGTCGGGGGCATAGAGCTTCAGTGACGACTCAAGCTTCTTGATCTGCTGCTTCTCGCGCTTGGCGAATTGCTTGGATTCTTTACATGGAGTCAGCCCGGAAATGTCAGCAGCGGCAGGGAGCGGAGCCGACAACAGAATGGAAGAGAGCGCCAGAGCAGCTGAGAATGCCTGCAGCGATGAAGCTGACGGGGATGACCCATTTTCCGACGAGGGATTGGCGGAGCAAACCACCACCGATCTCGAAATTTTTGGGGTGAATTGAGAGTTTAGCTTAGGCTTCAAAATGGGTTTAGAAAGATTTGAGGGAATGGTAAGAGACATCTTGAAAGTTCCCTTCTTTTCTCTTGTTTTTGCTCTGTTTGAGAGGAGAGAAAGTTGGGAATTTGAAAAGAGGTGTGAAGAGGGAGGGAGGGAGGGAGGGATGAGCTTTAGATTCTGGGAGGGAGAAATTAGTGGTGGTAGGGAGGATAAGGGAAGGGAAGAGGAGGGAGTAAGGGAGCTGAGGTGGATGGACGTGATTGGTTAGGCCTTTGTTTGGTTGTGGGTTTCAGATTCTCTGTATATCTACATAGACTCAAAGGAAGTTAAGTTTGGATAAAGGAAAAAAATTTTAATTTTGTGTTCGTGTGCTTTGCATAAGCCTTTCTCTTTTGTTTTGGTCTGATGGATCACATGCCATCCCTTCACCTATTTTGAATTTTTTTT